GTAACAAAGGCGCATCTGAGTTTGATATAGTTGTTCTAAGTAAAAAAATCCCCATATTTATATTATAGATCTTATTTATATAAGTATATACACATGTACTCAGGAAGGATTGATTATTGATTAGCAGATGGCAGATGAGATTAGAGATGTCAAAATGTTCTCAACAGCATCAATTTTCGCTTTCTTATTTCAATAGCTTCTCAAACTCCAAGTTAAAAATTTGAATTGGTGAAGTGAGCAAATAGATTTTTGTAGTTAGTTACCTGGAGGGTCTTGGCCTAAGCAAGTTCTAAACAGGGGCTTAGAGTGAAGGCATTGACTCACCTGTCTTCCACGTGCTGATGTAAATGTGGCCTCTCCATGGTGTGGAGATAAAGGGAGTCAGTTGTCTTAATCTGGCATGCTTGTATGCTCAGATACTTAAATATGTGCACCTTGCCCTTCGTGCAAATCTGTGAAGAAATTAATAATACATATTTATTTTTCAATGACAAAACAATGTGAATACCAGATCCTGACTCTGTGTATTTCAAGTCTCACAATTTCATTTTTAGTAACACCCTAACAATGCACACTAAATTTGACCTCTCCAAAACATATAACGGGAATCATTCCCTCCACATTCTCCTTAAATAGAAAATCACGCTCAAGCAATTTCTAATTTTTCTTGAATTAAACTATGAAATTCTAACAGAAAGGTATTCAAGCATAAATACAGTGTAAAAAGTACAAAAGTCAGATAACTGACCTTGTAACATTCCAATCACAAAAGATGGCAAAAGCATAATTATTTTCAAGCTCATAAGAAAGCAATTGAGAGCTTAAAAATAACTGTAGATTTAAGAAGTTGTTAAATTATTTTAAAAAAGCTTTAAAATATCTACATGGTTAATCATCTGAAAGCATATACTTCATTTTGTTCTCCTACAGTTGAAATATCTGACCTTTAGTCCTAACTCTAAATAATCAATAATCACATTTTAAGATGTTTAAACTCCATTTTCTAGCTAACATTAAGAAATATATTACTCCTTTTGTAAGCCATATACCCCAGGAGAAAGTTTCCCACAAAATGAGAAATAGGCCGGGTGTAGTGGCCCATGTCTGTAGACCCAGCACTTTGGGAGGCTGAGGCAGAAGGATCACTTGAGGCCAGGAGTTTGAGACCAGCCAGGACAACATAGTGAGACCTCATTTCTACAAAATAATAATAAAAAAATTAGCCAGGCATGGTCGTGCATGCTTGTAGTCCCAGCTGCTCCAGGAGGCCGAGGCAGGAGGATTATCTGAGCGCAGGAGGCCAAGACCAGTCTGGGCAACATAGTGAGATCCCCGTCTCTACAAAAAATAAAAAAATTAGCTAGGCAGGGTGGCACGGGCCTGTAGTATATAGTCCCAGTTGCTCAGGGAGGCGGAAGTGGGAGGATCGCTTGAGCCCAGGAGTTTGAGGCTGCAGAGAGCTACGATTGTGCCACTACACCCCAGCCTGGGCAGTGGAATAAGACCCTGTCTCCACAAAAGAAAAAAAAAAAAGGAGAGAGAGAAAGAAATAATTAAACATATAATCTGGGGTAGGCGTGATCAGAATTGTGGCCAAATGCTGGTAAATAGACTTGATGTAGCAGAAGACAATTTACTGTAGTCAGATTCATCCAAGGCTGCATCTTCTGAAAGACTGTGACTGCTAACGATCGTGTCTAATACCATCTTAATTCAGTAGAGAACTGAAAAACTGGCCCAGTGGAGAGCTGCTTAAATGCTACTGATAGCGTATCCCACGGGTATTGGCTTTGCTGCTAGATCCCTCACCTGTGCTGGAGGAGATTGCAGAGGGTTATTCTCGAGCAGTAACACTTGCAGCTGCTTCATCTCTCTAAAACAAATGGGAATCACGAGCACTTTGTTGCAGGAAAAGTCAAACTTTACCAAGGGAAGATCTACCAATTCTAAAATAACAGGAAAGAAGAAAGAAAGAAAAAACCTTAGAAAGCAACAAGATTAAAAGGCTAAACATTCAAAAATTAATTTTCTGCTTATCAGAAAAAATATCATTTAGCATAACCAAAAGCAAGTTGTACATTAGGTATACATGGTATGTGTATGTAACATTTTACTAAATGGGGGGAAAATCTTTCCTGGGGAGCCCTGAAATTTTAAACTGTTGTTAGTTTTGGTAAGAGTTGGAAATACTTGACATGTATAATATCTATTGTTTAAAAAGCCTTTTTTTTTTTCCAGCAAAAGAATCACATAAGCCACATTACATATGACATGTTTATGTTTTAACTTCAAACTGTTTCCCAGTAGCACTTGCTAGCAAATGAATAATATGCTAATTATAGAATATTCTTATCTATTCAATGTATTTGAACTGGCATTACCCCAGAACTAGTTACAATAAACATGTCCATGATTTTTTCAACTGCACTTAAAAAAACATTATCTAATTCAGAATTTTCTGATGGGCCCTGTAATTCTGGTTTGATGAGGCTTAATTCTACTGCTTTTAAAAAAGTCTTCCTTAGCTCCACTAACAAGACAGAACATTATATTTAGCTTAAAATCCCCACCCAGTGGCACAGTAAACACTCAGTAATTTCAAGCATTCAAACCAACATTGGCAGCTGCTAGATACAAAGTCAAATATATTCCATAGAGCAGAGAGGCCGAGCCACGCCAGACACCCGGGGTGACGCTGGCAAGCCACTGAGATGTCTGTGTGAGGCTATGGAGGGTTCATTTCAGATTGAGGCCTCAGAATTTTTGTTATGAGATCTGATAAGGGATGAAATATGGCGTTTTGAAATACTCAAGGAGTTGCAAAGGGAAGAAGGGCAAGAATTAGATGAAGAAGAGGAACTGAAGGCAGAGTCCCGAAGTAAGAATTAACACTATTTATCCTCTACACTGCCCTAGAGTTTTCACTTTACTCAGCTACACTATTTCAAATGACACCAAGAAAGATTCTCCTAGTGACCAATATCTCTTCTCGGAATTCAAGGCACTCGGGGGATTTGAGGGACTTTCCTTCTTTCGTTACATATCGAATTACTTTGTCTTAAGGAAAGAAGTAACGGGGCTGCAATTCTTTCTAGACCAGAGGACAGTGGAATCATGAAAGTGAAAGGATAAGGAAAAGTGAGACCCCCTTTCACCTCACTGTTGGCTTCTAAAACAGCTAAGCATTAGGGGATTCCATGCTAAGAGGAACACCTCCTTGCCACAACCCCTGGGGACACTAACGTGTCTCTGCCATGGTTAACTTTACTCACTACATTTAGGTTGGCGAATCAGTGGGAGAATTTAACATGACTCTGGATCGTCAACAATTCTTTGCCACTTAAAAATTGAGATTTCAAAGTAAGACTAGAGGGCTAAGTCCATGGCAGACACAGCAGGCAGGAACTTACGGGTAAATAAAATATGGAATGATTTTATAATGACTATTTCCTTTCCTTTTAGTCCCAGTTTGGAACACAATTGCCACCATAATTTAGAAAAACCAGAACTGGACAGTTTTACAACAATAAAATGAGGGTGAAAATGATAATACTGCAACATCATCCCAGGAAAGGTCCAAAGAAATGAAGCAAAAAAAGGGAGTAAGAAAAAAATTAATAAATAAGAACAAATCCCATTCTCTCTCCCCACTGCAAAGATAGGCAATGAATGGCTATTTTAATTTTCTATTCCTACTGGTCCTAGAAAGAATAAAATACGGTCTCCTCATTGCAGCTGTACTAAACCACCACAAAACTGATATGGGTAATTAGGCCACGAACTTTTTTTTTCCTCCTCAAATTGAAAACATATGAGGAGGGGTACCCCAAAGCAGAAAAACATGTAAGTCTGGAAAGTCTTTAAATTTACTGCCTGAAAGCATTATCAATGCTCTTTTGTCAAAAGAGTTCTTCAGAGTGAAACAAAAAAAAAATTGGTATTCAGGAAATTATTATTATTATTTTTTAGAGACAAGGTCTCACTCTGTCACCCAGGCTAGAGTGCAGTGGCACAATCATAGCTCACTGCAACCTCAAACTCCTGGGCTCAAGCAATCCCCCTGCCTCAGCCTCCTGCTTGGACCACAGGTGCACACCACCATGCCTGACTAATTCTTCTCTTTTTTGTAGAGACGGGGTCTCCTACATTGACCAAGCTGGTCTTGAACTGCTGGCCTCAAGCAATCCTCTTGCCTAAGCCTCCCAAAGTGCTGGGATTATAGGCGTGAGCCACCACCATGCCCAGCCTTCAGGAAATTGGGAAATTATTTAAAAAAAAAAAAAAGATTTTCCAGTAAACTAAAATTTTAGCCTTGAGAGTATTTTAAAATATCCAAACTGAGAAAACATAATTATGGAAAGTATAGTAATTTGTAACTGATCTTAAAAGATCAGTTACCTTAAAAGGTAAGCGAATAAGGAGTGGTGAGAGAAACAAAAACCTAGATTTCGCAGATGCACTTTCCACGTGTTTCTAAACCATTAAGGCAACTGCACAATGATTAAATTAATTTTTCCTTTTGAAAATGAGAGTTCAACCATCTGTGATGTTTCCATAATGATTAACATGGGAGCTTAAATTTCAATAAAGTTTTCTTTAGTGCATAAAAAGTTATATGCATATAAATTTGCTGTTAAGAGTTTTCCTTTTGAACTTGCTTAAACCAAGAAAAACATTCAAAAAATGTTTCATACATTCAAAATGTTTTATACATTCAGAAAATAGGATTGCACAAGGACAAAACGAAAAATCAATATTTTATACCAAGTCATCTTAAGTAATAAAGTAAAAAAATCCTATGCTGACATAATTTCTACTTCTGTAAAATGCTAGTCAGCATGAGAAAGGTGAAAGGTGGTAGGCAGACACTTGAACCTTCCATCTATAAAGGACACCACATTTTATAAAGTTCTTTCCCGTTCATGAGCTCCATTTTCTTGCCTAGAATAAGGAAGCATTTCAAGGCAAAGATCTAGATGCGGGGACAGGACAGTGAGAATCAGGCGGCTCTCAAACTGCTGCATAATGTCAGAGAACCAAACGCTGACTGGTTCCAAATATATGCTTTTGCTTGGGGCAAGTTCTTAAATATACGTTTGAAATCAGGTATGTCTAGAGCTCCTTAAACCAAAAGAATAGAAATCAATGTGATCTTGGAAAACCGGAGTATGTTTCGAGGAGCATTCAGAGTTCCGAGGCTCATCAACTCATTCCTGATCCAGGTCCAAACCCAAATATGAAATTCAGACCCGCTATCTCCTACAAGGCGCCTTTCGAGCTCCTGATGGTAAAAAAAATTTCTGAGTAAATGTATCTTTTTCCTCGAGCCCCAACACACTGTATCAGAGGGACATCCTGTAGAAGCCCACCGCTGCCAGGGCACAGCCGTCTAGGGACCTGGCACTGGTGCTGAGTGGCAGGGGAGCCAGGTCTCAACTCTGAGGCTCTGAAGCTGCCGTCGGTGAAATTCACCAAAAACTACCAGTGACATTAATCTAAGTATCACTCCAGCAGGGGCAGCACTCTCACCTGAAGAACAGATTCTAGACACTGGGGGTTCTGACCAGGGCTCCCCGATCCCCAAGGCTAGGAATCCTGACAGCCAGGATCTGCAGGACCAAGCATGTCCCCTAAACGGTTGGCTTCGTGTAGCAGAACATCACACACACATACCAAAATCAATGCACGTTGCCCCCTGTTATGGGTGGCTTGTGCCCCCCAAAATTCTTATGTTGAAGCCCTAACCCCAGAACCTCAGAATGTGACTGTATTTGCAGACAGGGTCACTAAAGGGGTAATTAAGGTAAAATGAGGGGATTAGGGCAGGCCCCAGTCCACTGGTGTCTTCGTAAGAAGAGATTAGGAAAGACACACACAGAGAAGATGATGTAATGACGCAGGGAGGGAAAGATGGCCAAGGAGAGAGGAACCAACCCTGCTGACATCTTGATCTCGGACTTCCAGCCCCCAAAAGTGTGAGAAAATAAACTTCTGTTATTTAAGTCATCCCATCTGCAGTTCTGTAACAGCAGCCCTAGCGAACTAAAACACCCCGCCCACCCCGGTCCCCGCACAGCACTGTACAGGGGAGTGATCTTGATGGTGTGGCCCTTGACTACAATTACAACGTGAGCAGCACTTTCCGTTACCTACGAGTGAAATCCAAATCATAATCATCAGTAGTGAGCATACACGCAAGATCCACTCCCTTCCCAAAAGTACACCAACACAATAATCAAAGTCTCCTGTTTTCTTCATTTTTTTCCTCTTTCTTTTTTACCTTGTGGTAAAACTTTAAGGTAATTTCTTCTGACATTCAGTTCTCGTAGAGATCTCAACTGGCCTATCTGCTGGGGCAGTGCGGTGATCTCGTTGCAGCTGACATCCTGTATCAAAAGCAGAGAGAGCAACAATCAATGTCTTTCCCAGGAAGTCAAGCATTTCATGTGAAATCTCCTTAGGAATTTAAATATTGGAACAACTACACAGGTACACTTTTATGCTGGTCCCCCGGTCCCTAGCATTAAGGCTCAGCACAGAGAAGAAAAAGAAAGTTCAAAGCTTTAAACACCCTCAGAGTTTAAAGAGGAGAGAAAAAGGGAGAAAAGAAAGATTTTAGTAGCATTTGGTGCTGCTTTGCCAGCCTCTGGCCTGACACTTTCACATGCTGCGATTTTATTTAATTCTCACAACAAACCCATAAGGCAATATTACTAGCCTAATATTTACAGATCAGAAAATTGAGGCTCAGAAAAGTTTAGCCAGACGCCCAAAGCATGCAAGTACCAGAGTTAACACTGGGCTATCCCACAATGCCTCTAAATAGAAGGAAGATGACAATGCATCGTATCTTGCCAAACTCTCACATTTTACAGTGAAAATCTATGAATGTTAATGCACTGTTTGGATGCACTATTTATTTAAAATGGAGTTCTTACCGCATGGCTAGAAACCTTGTAGCTGACCACCTTTCCACACATTTTACAGGCATGACTATGAAATGCAATTTTTGTCTTTGCTTTAGATAGCAAATACTCCATTAATCCTTGGTTAGAATCACCTCTTGATACATGCAACATGGAGGCCTTGACATTTATAATCTTCTATATCCTCATTATCTCCCCTAATCCCACTCTTCCTCTTGGCTCTGGGAGTTGTGCCCTGCTCTCCAGCTACCCCTGTAGTCCAGACCTGCACTCGTCTCAGCTGTGCACTACGGTGGTCTCCTGACTGGTTTCCATACATCAGTCTCCTCCTCGGATCCATCCTTCGCAGAGCTGCCAGAGTGCACACTTCATTATGTTGTCACCAGCTTAAACACTTGCAGGGGATCTTCAGCAACTACAGAATAAAGTCCAAACTTGGAAGCAACACCCAGCGTCTATGATGAGGGCTGCGGGTTTCTCCAACACCATTGCTCGGAATATCCTTCGTTGTATCCCACACTCCAGCCATGTTATTGCTTCTTGCAATTCTCAGCGTGTGCCAAGATGTTTCACAGTCCCCAAACTTGTTCGGGCTCTTTCCCTTCCTGATATGCCAATATTGTTTGTTCTCTTGTCCCACCTACTCGTTTTTAAGCCTTAGCTGCCTCCTTCAAACCTCTCCCAAGGCTTCTCTCTGCTGCTCTGATCTCACACCTGGGGAGACCGACCACTCTTCTTCCTTTGTGATCCTACAGATAGTGGGTTATTATAATTCTTTTGCTCACATGTTTGCCTTCCCCTTTAAGCCTGTCAGCTCCTAGGTGCGAAGGACTATATCTTATTCACTCCATTCTTCTGGTGCCTCGTGCAGTGCCAGGTATAGAGTAAAGCATCAATAAATGTTGGGTAAAACTTGTATAATCCACTTGTGGTGACACTCCATAACACAGAGGTTCCATCTCGTGGCTGGGACCCCAGGATGCGCCAATATACACATGAACCCCATGCAGGTCCCACTTGGTATCATAGAACCAACGATACTTGTTTGGGCTATGAAAGAGCGCAGTGAGGTCAAGTTCCTAGATATCCCACTTTACTTTTGAACCTACAAAAGCTGCCCCCTTTCACCTTGGAAGGCAGCAAAGCCTGGTTTCAGACATCTGCTTCACTTTCATGCAGATGGGATCAACCTGTCATCCACCTATGCCCTGAAAACCCCCAGGCTCCACTTAGACCAGGGCTATACACAATACAGTGGGTCCCTGCCCTCCAACCTCGTCTCATCTCACTCCCCAGGTGACCGGCCAACCTGTCATGGTCATAGGGTGCTCAATGGGTATCACCTGATGAAGGGAACAACATTGCTCCTGCTAAAAGGAAACGAAGCTGCAATCTATAAAGCCCAGGTGTACAGAGTGTGGTCACCCCACCAAGCTTCTCTGAAGCTGTCTGACGGGGCAGTGGGGTGATACGGCTCAGAGCGCTAGGTGTTCCGTGGCATCACCGTCAAGCTGCCGTTGCTGCATCCCTCCTGGCCCAGAAAAGTCACACACAATTTTAAGAAAAACACCCCTGGTGTTTAAAACAAAAACAAAATAAAACAAAAACAAAATAAAAAACTTCACAAGCACATCTGCAGAAACAAGAAGGTCTCAGGAAGTAATTACAGAATTAGGAGGTCCAGAGATTTGTTCAGTCACTCTCAGCCCCTTGCTGAGTTGGTAAATTGCTCCGTCTTTCTGAATATATATCCACATACGAGAAGTGAATGGTGAAATGCCATGTTTTCCCAATTACTGTGGCATCTGGTCAGTCACGGAAGCCAAGAACCAAATCCTTTCAATGAAAGCTTTATCTTTCTTTGCCTTAACTAAGTAACAAATAAACAAGAGGTACCATTCCATTCTGTGTAAAAAGAGCCCTCAAACCAATGGCATATACAGGCGAGCCTGAGAAATACATGAAATCAAATCATGCTATTGGACTTATGATCAGGTGGTGTTCTTGATGAGTGGAGACCGTGTCATGGGGAAGAATTCGTGGAAATTACTTTCCATCGCTAGAGAAAATTTCTGTCGTTGACATCTAAAATAAGTTTTTGTAAGTCTTGTGAGCAACAGCACGAGAAAGACCCTTTTGCAGATCATGGAAATCACAGATTTTCGATGTGAAACTGATAATTTTCAGAAGTTTCAAGGACATAATGTTCAAGAAAAATCCTTCTCTTAAAAAATAAGGGTGGGGGAGAAGGGAAGCAGAAAGATAACTGATATATTTAGGCAGCATACTATTCACAGTATGAAATCTCCTGATACGAAACTAAGCCTTGGTCCATATTTTAGTGACTATATTCACCTTACTCTTTGCTGGTCACGCCTGTGTTAGCCATAAAATCAAGGTATGCTGTTTCTCTGAATATACGGTAATTATTTCCAACATGTATTTCTAACATAATGGCTTTATCAAAGAAAACCAACTCCCCTCAGCTATATTTACTTATTAGCAGTAGAGAAAACGTTGCCTAATTTACTTTAAAAAAACTTCATATAATGATAAATACAAGTTTTCCTTCTGACTTACAGGACAGGACATCTGTAGACAATTAGAAACACAAAATCCAATTGTCCATTCACATTTTCAAGGGTTTATAGTGAAGGTCAAATTATTTTAATGGCACTCTGCACTGCTGTCAGTTACTTCCTGTCCTGACAGAATAATTGGAGGGCGGAGGGGCAATTAGTGCCCAGGCAGATCTAGCACATAAGCAGGATAAAGACTTTTCACTCTTGTATAATTAAATAGTGTAGAAAATAGTGCAAAATTCTATTCCTCACAAGTCACTGAACCTTGCCAGATTTTAAAGAAGCTATGAATTTCATCACAAAAATAAAACCCCATGGGTAATTATGTCTTAATGAGCTGGGGGATGAGGAGGAAAAAAGAGGAGATAATAGTCTAGGTGTTTGGGGATAAGATATTTCAGTTCTGAAAATGTAAAAGCAATATGCCTAAAATGGCCTTGTTCTCTAGAACACTTGTGTCCAAATTTAGCCCAAGATAAAGTATGGATTTTTGAGGTTACTTAAAGAAGATATGATTTAGGAAAATAAATTTATAAAATAACACTAATGCCTCACACTTCTGCAATTAGTGAAAATTTATCAGGTCATAAATTACAGATTCAGTTACTTACTAGAATAGTCAAATAAATCCCTCCTGAATTTTTTATTAGCCCTAAGCCATGTCTTAGAGAATAATTATTCCAAACTTCAGTGAAATCAAATTCCCATATATTTAGTGTTATAATATTACAAACATACAGGTAGATTAAAAAGAATCATTATGAGTATCTGTCATAAATATTTACTGAGTTTATTATTTTTGATACAGAAATAGATCTAATTATAATAATATAACTACTCAAGCTTAAGTTTTTTATGGACCAGGCAGTCCAACTTTGTCATTTAGATAAAAATCTAAATAGAGAATTTGGACTATGACTTAAAATATACTTACTTTTCACTGGTTTAACCAAAAGCCAAAAGAAAAACTTTGGAGATTAAGATTCTGTCTTCATCACACTAAAAGAAGTCCCCAGTGTTAAATGCATGTTGGAGATTAATACATTTTTGTTACTAAGTACTAGTTGCTAACTTACCTTCAGAATGCAAAAATGGCAAGGATTTAAAATATCAGAATAAATTCAAGGATTATTAAACTAGGTAATGCTCACTTTTGGAAAATAATATCATAAAAAAGACTAGAAGTTTTTTTTTTTTTTTGTAAGGGGTGATATCTAATGAAAACCGACATAAACACTGAGTCAAGAGACGATCCTGGTCAGAGAAGAGTTCCAATGAGACTGGGCCACACTGTGGAATTGCAGGCGGTATTCTCACAAGCAACCTTTCTCTGACACTCATGTTTTCACAAGTTTAGTGTGGCGATACTATTGCTTAAGTCATATTTTTGGTGATAAATCTAGCTGTTTACTTAATTGAAGAAAATGCAAACGTTCCAACAGGAAATGCAAGCTATTAACACTAGCCGTCTGTCATGTAACTGTGGTGCCATTTTATGGAAATTGCTTTTATATGACTCGGTGTAACTTTGGGTAAATGTCATATACTCTCTGTGTCTCTATTGAAAGAAGAGTTGAGGATTAAATAATTCTAATTTTCTTCCAACATCAGGAAAATCTATTTACTACATCAGAAATAATGAAATGACTTTTGTTGAAACACAGATACATAATAAAATTAGTAATATCAATTTTGTTTTCTGACCAATAAAAAAAATCTCAATGCTTGTGGTCATAATTTTCTTTTTTTAAAAGAAAAATCAATATGTCCATTTAAACTTGAAACTTTTTCAAGCAACCTCTGGTATAATAAATTACTACCTCTCACACCAGTGTGTCTTCCCAGTGTAAGACTCTACTTCATATCCCTCCTACACCC